GTCATGTTATAAAATTATATATTTCTTTACATTATTTAACTACCTCCCCTTGTGGTTTCCCCGTGGGATTTGAACCTAAGACAATGGGTCCGAAAGGCTAGCATCCGTATGAGCATCTTCACATCTTTCTCGATACAGATTCAATTCCACACCCTTGTGCCAGCAGATCCTATTTGAGCCGCTGTTACGTTACTGTCTGTTGTTAAACTTTGCTGTTCTATAAAATAATAGTTATAAAATAATAGCTATCTTGAGGACTTTGATCATAGACCGGTCATATCTGTAAACTAATAACGGATTGGTAAACTCTAATAACTTCTTCTTCGCGTTCACCAGCTGTACATTCTTTAGTGAAAAGGGCGACAGACTGAAGAGGGAGAAATCGTGGCTAGGTCGGGCAGAAGATGTTATTAGGCAAATATGCAGCCTAATCAACATCATACCTGGTGCAGAATGGATACCTGTGCCTCAGGCGTTTATTTGTACATTTTCCTGTATTGTCACACTCAACAGGCGATGTAGAGAAGAGAAGGGGTCCTGTTGCTGTTAATGCAGAGGTCACCGGAACCCACTCATCGGTGAAAATTCAGACGAAGCAGATGCAATAATCTATACAGACGGATCTGTTATATCGCCAAAGAAAGAAGCGGCATGGGCATTTAGCGGACGCTCAGCGGGCCAGACATCATATAACAGTCAAGAAGCCAACGGCGCCTTCCGATCCATGACAACCAGCAGCATGACGATGGAGGTGATGGCAGTGACGCAAGCGCTTGCCTGGCTTGAAACACAAAATACACCCGCGTGTGTATACTCAGTGATATCATGAGTATGATCCGGAGGGTTCAGGCAGGTTCAGTGCGAGACAATGGCTTGAATCATTACAGAAGTCCACTGTGCGTGGAGTCACCTTATTTTTGTTCCGGGACACGCAGGCGTCGATGGAAATGAAAGATGCTGACAGGTTGGCTGGATCCCGCATATTACTACCGACGGTCAGCCTATGGATCATGCTGATATTATCAATGCCCTCATAGAAATGGGAAGGATAGAGGACTTTGGTGGCAGTGAATCAACATCATCGCCAGAATGGCAGACTTGGGAATTAAGATCGGTACAGCAAAAAACGAGACGCACACCAGACACGCCAGAAGACTTGTTAATCAACATAGAACTGGTACTATTAGCCATCGGACGTTGGGGTTCATACTGAGGGGAGGATGTGAGCACCTATGGACATGTCCGGAGTGCAATGAGGATAACCCAAATAACTAACTAACTAACTAACAAACAAACATTCTGGCGGAAAGTTCTGGTTGTTCGTCCACTACTGAACTGGGATATTTTCACGTGGACCTCGTAATTTCCCCTCGTCTTTGGGTAGTAAGATCTGACGCTCGTGTGTATTATTGCGCAAGGTTAAAAAAAATCCCTTGGTAGTTGGAAATCGAAAAAGTGTAGACTAACGGCGCTGCTTGGGCAAAATGGGACGTTAAAAATCTACCCATATTATTTCAGGATTCTCGCCGGTGCTACGGAGTTCGAACAATGCGCTGAAATTCTTACCACTCAGGCGTGAGTCAGAAGTAAAACGGAGCACTTATGGGTTACTACCCTTGTGCCGTGATGTTGATCCGTCGTCTAAACCTGACCTATTAGCAAGTCTTAGCTTCTAAATATCAAAAGACCATCCCCATTATATGAAGACATTTCCCAGAGATCGTAAGAGATTCTCGATGTACCGACTACGTCGCAATAAACGAACTCCGACGTAAAGACGCTCTAATGTATTTCCTGAAAACGAGCCTTAACACAAACCATAAATAGACTAGATAATGATATCAGAAAATGTCCCAGAAAACTATAACACATAGCCAATGTTAGGGTTACTCTAGACGACTGGTTGGATAATATCAAGAAGGTTTCTTGATAACCTTATCGACTCAATACGTTATGATGTGCTAACACGGGATAGTGTCTTATCGTGAGAGTAATAAAGGGAAAAGAACTTGGGCTTATATTGTCTGCCTCATACAATGAAGTAGCTGCAGGGGATTTAGTAGCAGCTTTGGATTGAATTTATACCGTTCGGATTCCGATGAAGCAAAGTAAACCAAGCATTGGGACAGCTAGCCCACCCAACAGCACAAGACATTCCCAATCAGCATAAAGAAACACCCAATATACAGCATATTCATTTCTATCCTATGCTACCAGTGTCAGATATGGTCACTCTTAACAACCTTCTTCTTCTTCTTCTTCTTCTTCTTCTTCTTCTTCTTCTTCTTCGGCATTCCCAGCCCTTGAGGTTCATTGCTGCAGATATTACCTGCCTCCATTCGTCTCTCCGGTTGGCCTTCTCTTTCCAGTTGATAACACCAAGTGTTTGCAGGTCTGTCTGGATATTATCTCTCCATCGTCTTCTTGGTCTGCCTCGTGGTCTACGACCATTCATCTCCCTGGTGTATAGAGTATTTACTTCTCTGTCATCTGACATTCTTTAAAAATGCCCCAACCATTTCAGTCTGTAAGCGCTCATGATGCCAGCGATCAGTAGTGATTTAAACAGATTATAAAACTCAAAACCAGACAAGAAAATTAATAACCATGGAAAGGAGATGTCTGAGAAAAGCTGCAGGAGTGACCAGAAGATATGAAATCAAGAATGAGCTCAACACAACCAATTTTGATTTATGTAAAAAGACAGCAAATCAAATAGTTTTCTCACTAGAGAGAACGCCTCGTGACGCCATATCATGCAACGAGAAGGACGTAGAGCTCGAGGTAGACAAATAACATGATGGAAAGATAACGCTGGAAAAAACTACAACAGCACAGTGTGTCTATGGTCGAGGCGGTCCAGAAGAGCCAGAAGTAAACTTTATATCTTCCCCGATATCCGACCTGGCAAAAGAGAAAGTGAAGAAGGGAAAAAGAAATCGTTCAGAGAGCTGTGACAAGACATTAAGACAAAACATTGCCAGAGTAAGACTATAGTAGGTCATGACACCCATAACCTTGACCACTGTAGACTAGTCCAACCAACTTATCAATGGAGTTGACCTACAACCGGTGGTGTTTAAATGGGGAGACCGTCGTATAAATAACCAAAGTCCCTCCCCCCACCTCATTTCCCTCCAGTATTGCAGTCTGAATGATCAACATCCCAATGATGAGAATCAAACAGCCACATATCCAAGAAACCGTGCTCAACCCGTACAGCCACCATGCAGTCATATTTGGGCACCACTGTCGGTTACGAAATAACCCATAGTGCGATGAGGGAGGGTAGACTATTACTTGTCCATCCTCAATGTACTTTTAATTCTCCACGAATGACGCAATCCCCACGTCTGCTGTATGCTTTTCCCGAAACATGACAAGACCCACATTTCCCGGCTCCTGTCAGCCGGGATCAGTGTTTTTATTTTCCTTGCCTGGCCTCGACATATCAAGGCATAAACGTCGCGGGCTTTCATCTCCTTGAAATGGAAAATAAACTGCCAGACTGCCCAAACAGAACTCTTGTGTGGAGTAGGGAAAGCCTTTTCTTCTTTGTCACCAATGGCACAATATTGGTCCCCTGGGAGACATTGGGCATGGCGCCATATTAATTCACAAAGGAGTAAAAGAGATATAATTGGGTCCTCACTCATCAACACACACTTTATACTCGAATAGTTTTCTTTTTACTTCTGAAGGCTTTTCATGATCTTTTACTGCTTTGTTTGCGTAAAATATTCTCCAGGGGCAGCATATTCTAAATTGCTTTCTTCTCACTGTTTTTTCTTTCTTTCTGGGTGAGAATGTGGGAGTGTGTGTGCATGTGTGCGTTTGAAACAAGGACAGAGAGTCAGATGTGATTCCTTTACAGGAAGTTGGAGACCAGGGCTTATACAACAGGCGGCCCGCTGACCAGATTTCGCCCACTGAGGGTTAGAAAGTTTTTGGCAGGTCATTGCCAGCTGCATTATATTAATAAGCTTTCTCTGCTGGGGCTCGAATCTCTGACATGCCACGATCCCTATGCCCAAAATTGGGTTATTTATACGATGGTCTCCCCATTTACACACCACCGCTTGTAGGTCAACTCCATTGATAAGTTGGTTGGACTAGTCTACCGTGGTCGAGGATATGGGTTTCGCAGTCTGATATTATCTGGTATTTACGTTTTTATTTCCGAGAAAAAGACTGCCTGTGACAAGAGGCAACCTTCGTCTATGATCTGGCAACTTTGCATCGCCGCCTGATAAGCAGATGACAAACAAGCGCCCATTTTATTGAACTAGTTAGATGTGCACTGTTACGAAATCAACATGGTGCAAAAAGCTAACATTAAATTCTGTTTAAAACTCAGAAAAAGCGCCATTGAGACAGTTGAATTGATGCGGTGGTATTCGCGATTCAAAATGGCGTAGAAATGATTGCAAATGCAACTAGACCTTGATGCCCAATTTTTATTTGTAATGATGAACTCATTGAAAAAGTCACAGAACGGAGACACGAATATCATTGTTTCACTGTCAGGATGATGGCAAGTGAATCTGGTGTTAATAGAGGGTCCCTTCGTAAAATGTTAGTGCAAGATTTTGGCCCCCAAAAAAAAAAAAAAAACCTTGCTTGCAGGTTTGTACGGCATTCGGTGTCTGATGACCAAAAACTTCAGATGGTTGAGAACCCATGAGACATCATCAAAACATGAATTTTTGGCCCCAAATTTGAGGTATAATTCTTTTTCTAAACATTGAAAAACAATTTATTTTTTGTTCATTATCCATTTATTTCAAATGGGTATCTATTTTAAAGTTGTCTTAAATTCATCATCATCAAGTGCCTTGCAGACTGGCATGGGCGATTATGTCTCTCTACAACTGCGCTCTGCAACAGCGCATTTCATTTCGTGTACTGACGCCCCTTAATGCCATGACAAAAGGATGTCAAGAATATCCCCACGGTGTCTTCTTCTGTCTGTCTTTTAGCAGATCTTTCCAGTGGTCACA